TTCTCGGTCTCGACGAGATACAATTGTGCCAAGTCTGGCGTATAGAAGACAAATATATACACCAATAGCTTCTGATTGCTTATAAATATCATTATTGTTATTATATTATTACATCACAGCATTATTCCTTCTCATCAAATATGATTCTCTATATATTTTTCTCCGTTTTTATAGTTTGTATGAACTTGTACTTCCGTACGATAAAAATATATTGTTCGCATTCCATATAATAACAACCTGCGTCTCTCGAGTTGACAAGGAACAGCTCCTGTACTTTGGATCATGGCAATTTACATACGTCCACAAATAACTGTTTTATTTATACGGCCCACGATCGATACTTTTATGTAAGATTCTCATTACGGCCTTACGTGATGATGTCAAACACCAAAACTTATCTTTACCTGTTGTCGGTATACGGAAAATGTTGATTAGGCTAAACCGACGTCAGAAATTTTTCTATTGGCCCTGCAGGGATGGTAACAATATATATATATATATATATATATTAGTACTGTTAATCAAAATTCAGTGATATAAGTAAAAGGTCAAAATCAATGTACATATATATATTTTATTGGATCACATAAACAAAGATTTTACCTAACTTTTCTAATAAAAATTCAGATCAATACATTTTATAGAAATAAAAATCAACGCATTTTCAATATTTTATAAATGAAAACCATTCTTTGTTTTAAAATAGTACATATCCTATACAATATAATAAACGGCTTTTAACGAATATTGCTTTAAAATATTTATTTGAATTTCATATTCATCGAAGATCTTAAAATAATTTATATTTCAGCTTTTTAAAATGGTGAAATATTTAAATTTTATTTGTACAATTAAACTTGCACTGCAGTGGGATCGATATGAAAAACGTGGTAACAATCAAGTAAATCTTATAAGTTTCTGGATATGCTATTCGACGTTAATTAAATTAAATCTCGGAAAAGTACGAAAAAATCTTAAATTTTTATTTATTTTTATACCGTCATCCGACGAATGTCTAATGTATAATAGGTATAATGAAAAGTGACGAGTCATCGAGTGTATACCTTAATACCATAGAGACAAAAAATTTGCTACGCGTAATATTGTAATAACTATATAGTGTATATTTTATACATATAGATATAGATATACATACATTGGACAGTTTAATCAATAGCGTTAATTGTTCCAAAAAAAACACAATGGTTACGACTGCACAATCGATGTGATTTTAGGCTAATCATTATTTATATTGACCGTTTCTATAGTACATACCTTAAACATTTTCATACTATTCTGATTCTTATATTCGAACTCAAAATACACGAAAAATTCATGGGTTCGAGTGAGATTCGGATAGGACATGGCCAGGCGTTTTTTGGTACATTCAAGGTGCACCCTAGCCCGCCACTTAGTGCCACTATTGCCCGCTACCAACGGGTAGAAATTCTCGTTCGCTCGTGCAGTGCTGTGCAGACGAGAAGTTTAATTATATTATATTAATTTATGCCGGTATCGGATGCATTGCTATAAAAATATCCAATTCGTATGTAGCTGTGCCACGGGTTACCAAGGTTACGCGTGGTTGTAGTGGCTATACCCTAAATTATTGTTTTATGGTCGTTATAATTATTGCTTGTTGTGTTTTACCGATTTTTTTTTTTTTTTGCGATACTATTAGTATCTGAATATTTTAATTTTATTAATTCGATTTTCAGATGCGTTTTTAATGTATAATATATCATATCCTCTTTTACTCTTATTAAATTATTTAATTGTGATATTGGAAATGATTGAATTAATTGTTTTTAGTATTTTTACCATGGGTATATTAAATATTTCGTATATTAGATATTTAGAAAACGACTCGAGTTGACAATGCACTTAATATAGTACTCAGTAATCGGAATATTATTCAAATGAAGTAAAAATAGTTTTTCAAATATTATTTTTAATATTATAACATTTACCCGACGAAAAATATTTTCCACTACTATACCTATGGGGATATACATTCCCGCCGTGCGTTCGTCCGTCTGTCACGACTTAGCCGTCTCCATGGTTATCATCAATACCTATATCAATATTGATTTTACAAAATTATTGTTGTACTTCCATATACATTGTTCTATTGATATTAAATTTATTAAATTATTTATTGTCATGTATGTCTAGAATATTTCATACATATTAAATACATGTATACGAAATCCAGGGCTGTTTAAATATTTTATCCGTTTCAATACGATGATACTAATTTACATTAGTTATTATATTCCACTATAGACTCATAAAATATTACGTACATAATACCCGGAAATTTGCTATGAAATTTATGGAGTGTGTTATTATTTATTTAGATACTAGTACTCAGGCATTTAATCAATTAAAATAGGTATACAATTATCAGTAAATATAATTATATATTTGAAGCAATTTATGTAAATATAATTAAACGACAAATCGTTAATGTTAAAAAGTTTTTACCAGTACAACATTGTATATTTCGGAATTATAAAACTGTAAATTAAGTTAAATGCCCTAACTATTATTCCACTAGGCACGTGGGTTTAATTCAAACAGTTAAAAATAAACATATTTTAAAATAAAAAAATAATTTTCTGAACAATAGTGTTAACTAGATTGTACTCAAACTGCATTACACGTACATAATTGTATTATTACACAAAGAAAATAATAAATCTGGATAAAGTGTAGATTGAATTATAGTTTATCGTTTTGAAAATGCAATTATTTAATTTTATTCATTTATATTGTGATTTAATATGAAAGAAGAATAAATTGATTTCCATAGAAATAAAGGTAAGATCTATAGGCTATTGAAGTCATCATTGCGTTGTAATAATCCTTTAATACATACATACTAACTTAGCGATATTTTAATTACATCTCTAATAAATGTATATATGCTGAATAAACGCTTTAACACTCCTATAGGTAGCGTTGTTTTACTTCAGTCATTAAATAAAAATATAATACACGCCAAAAAAATCATTTTACTCCCTGGATAAATAATTTATTAAATTATTCCCTAGTGTATATAAATATAATTTATAAACATATCAAGACTTTAAATCAATTGAATGATACACGAACTATTTTTATTACCTATCTAATTTGATAATGGGCATTGAATTCTCTCTTTCAATTAATAGTTTAGATAAAATTAAAACAAATAATTGAAATATTCAAATTCTTTCTGAATGTACGATTGTATCTACTCGTGAACATATTGATTATATTAATATATAAATGTCATTCAAATTTGTTATGTTGCCAAAAAAAAAATCATCAATCAATAGCACATATTTATTCTATTGTATTTAATTATAATTTGATATTTTTAGTCAACTAAAGTATATATAACATATAACTTAATCGCCTTAATTATTAATTGGCTGATTATCATTTTGAATATAATGTAAAATGCATGATATACCTACAACGATACTTTCTATTATAAATTTACCATTTTAGCTCGTACAATTTCAATCAAGTCTGTAAATTAATTGAAACCCGAAACAATCAGAAATTTCAAACATACTATTAGACGGTTTTAATTAACTCAATAAAAACCTTAAATGGAAATAATTATTTTTATAAAAGAGGATAATAATACTCAGGATATGTATATTAATAATTTTATAAATAATTTTTCAAAATATAGATTTGGAAAAAAAGATAATATTCAACTAAAAATACGGTAACGGGATATAAAATTCAACTTAAATAATTTGAATAGAACAACCTCGCAATTTTATAAAAAAATCCAGAGACAAATAAATCAATAATTAATTTTGATTTTCATCAATTAAGTTAACGAAATCAAACGTGCAAACACACATTTATTTGTACGTAACCATACTATATTTGTAACGTTGTTATTATGAATTAATGATATTAACCAAAAGTAAACCGATGAGGGGATTATTAAGTACTTTAATTTTCGGTACAAAGGTAAATTCGTAATGATTTTCAAACGACAATGATTATTATTTTAGGCTTATTAAATACTAATGCGTCCTTAAAACAATATTATTATTTGCATAATAATTCGACACTGCAAATAGGTACACTACGTGTACTTAACGAGTTAGTATTTTTATTTTTTTTTTTGGTTTCATCGCAAAAACAATTATTATATTAAAAATTAATATCGTGTAAATGTTTTCTATTCCATTATATAACTTAGCAAAAAACAACCACGACAGCGAAATTTAATATTTTACAATGGGAAATCAAATGCACGTCGAATGAAACGTATTAGAACAATATTGTAATACATTTTATTAAATCTGTATACCAGTGGACGCTACACATATATTAAACGTATAGTAATTCGAGTACTAAAAAACTTTTTTTTTTTTTCATTCAGTGATTATTTGAAACAGGATATTTCGCTATTATGTTCTAGGATTTTAGGAAACAACAGACAGTAATATCAATTTGATTTGTAGTAATTCAATATTTCACCGACAAGCCCGAGAACATATTTTCGATTTTTCCATACATGTATACAACGCATAAGCTCTGTTCGTATTAGTTCAACGTAAATGTAAGCAAGGTCTGAAATACATCCGATTCAGAGGACATGGTTTTTAATTCAATCGTTACCGTTGACGGATTTCGCCTAAAACTATACACGTTCGTAATTCAAGGGACACGATTCGATTGTCAAGGGACACGGTACTTCAGGCCGTTAAGTGTTTTCGCCCGTCGGCATTTGACTCGAACAACACGTGGCGTTCGGACGTTTTAATTATCGTTTAATGAATAATTGTACCGTTTCCGATGTGGTTTGTGTGTAATTATGAGCGTGTCGAGTTACGTAAAACGTGATTCGGACACGTCCGCGAGAATAATCGGTACGTTCGCGAAGGGTCTCCGGGTGCAGGCGGCTAAACATCTCCCCTCCTCCTCCCCCGTGGACGGTCGCTAAACGCGGATCTGAAAACGATGGAAGACCAAAAGTTACGTACCTCCGACGCCGGCGTTCGTGATGGTCACCCAAAAGTCGATTGTCTTCTCGGGACCAAGCTCCTCGTAGTCCCACTTCTTCTTGACGCGTACGGCGCCATTTGGCTCGACCGTCACCCACGGGTTCTCGTCTCGGATCTTGAACGTCTCCTTCTCTGTCTCCTTCTCGAGCGGGAACACGCTGCGGCCCTCCTGTTCGCCGTCGGTCTCGGTGAACTCGATGCGCTTGGTGGGCCTGACCGCGCGGGTCACGCGTCTCTTGTACACCCGGTGATCGGCCACGGCCGCGTCGTCGTACAGATTGAAGTCCTGCATGAGCATGTCGTCGTCCAGCACGACGAAGTTGTACTGGATCCAGACGCGGGCCGGCTGCTCGGAGACGCGGGATGGCGTGCGCAGGTCGTGCGCGTCCACGGTCAGCTGGCACTCGAAATACTCGCGGGATCGGAGCACGTCGTCGGACACGAGCAACTGGCCGGTCTGCGGCACAACGACCACTGCGGCGCTGGGCGAGGCCAGCCGGTACGCGACATGGTCGCCGTCCGCGTCCGTCGCCTCCACGCGGCCCACCACTGAATACTGTCCCGGGCCCACCGTGCCGTTGTCCAGGCCCAGGCTGAACCCGTCCACGTTTATCTTGTACAGGTCCTGCACGAACACGGGGCTGTTGTCGTTCTCGTCGGTCACGTCCACGTGGATCTTGGTGTACGCCTTGTCGATACCGCTGCCGTCGGCTGCCTGCACGATCAGGTCGTACGCGGGTTTCTGTTCGCGGTCCAGCGGCCGCTTGGTGACCAGGTGCACGCCCTTGTAGTACGACTTGTTGGTGATGTTGCCGGCGATGTTCTCGGCCGTCTTCAGCGTGAACGCGCCATCGTCGTTGCCATCCACTATCGCGTACCGTATGGGCAACCCGGCCACACCCTCGCCGAACGCGTGCAACACCGGCACGCCCTTGACGCGCGCTCCCGGGGCCCGGTTCTCCGACACCCTGCCGTCCGGGTACGCGTCGTCCGAGAACCTCAGCATCTCCCGCTTCTCCAGCACGAACAACTGCATGTTGTGCGTGAACGTGGTGTTCGGCGACTCCTCCAGAACAACCAGGTTGACCGGCCGCTTGACCAGCAAGCTTAGATCTGTGGTGGTCATAAGCAGCCCGTCCTTGAGTACGGCGAAAAACTGTGAGAAGCCGGTCTCCAGCAGCCGAAAGTACGCGTACTTGTTGTCGCTGGTGAACTGTTTGATGCCGAACCCGGGGTACACGTCGCTGGGCAGTATCGCAATGTTGTGGTGCATGTGAGGCGACAGCGAGACACCGTCGCTGCAATCGGCACCCGGCACTCGGCATACCGCGATCAGCGCGGCCGTCCACACGGCGGCCTTCAGCAGCATTACGCCACTTCCGCCGCACGTGTTCTTCTTCATCTCGTTTTCCGCCTTCCTTCCTGCTCTTTGACCTTTCTCTCTCACTCTGTCCGCTTTTTTCAACGCGTTGTATAGGTGTGTGTGAGTGTTCTCCCTCCGTTTTATAACTCGTCCACTACGATCGCGAGTGAATGTCAACCCCTAGTGAACAACAGACGATCGTCTACCCTGAAATACAACAAAATACGTCGGGTTAATTCAGATTTGAAACATAAAGGTTTTTTATTCGTATTTGTAATTTTATCACCGTCAGAACGTATGTCACAATGTCCGTTCGGTAACGATACGATAACGACGGCAATTGTTTTAGGTATTAACACGTGGCTACGATACGTTCGGTTTTTTACGTAATGCGATTAGGCGCCGGAGATAATAAGTTTCTCCAGTCGCACATGCATGCCATTAGCGTTGTACGGAGGTCGCGACGACCACGCGTGAAGTAATTCGCTCTGTACACTTTAGATTTCGATACCTCGCCGCTCGTATAAATTATCAATACGTTTCTCCTCAGTTCCAAATGTTTCATTTATTTGGAATCACGGTTATTTTTTTTTTTTTTTTTTTTTAAATTAATCAATAAACATTCACGTTTAAATAACACGTAGGACACGATTAATGCTTTGGTGAAGCAATAAATAAATTAATACTATCACGTGGAGCGATTTAAATTAATTAATTTGTATCCAAAAACGTTCATATAATAATATACGTCACCGCACTAAGAGTATAACATTCGAAAGAATAATCAAGATATCGTATACATGTACCGTGTTTATATAACCCTTGTCTCCGAATAAACGGTCGAAATAATAAAGAAAAAAGCGGGAAAAGAACAAAGTTGTCCGTATAGATTTCGTTTCGAGTCATTTACCTAAAAAAAAAATAAATGATAAATTCCCAAGAACCTCCCACGGTGAACACTACAACATACGACATGTGGTTATAACATTATAGTACAACATAACATTTCAATTTAAGATATTCAAAGAGAACGGACATCTTGATTTTCTTTTTTTTTTTCGTGCACAGAATTGAGGTCCAAACCATTTATTTTCCAAAATTTGTGCATACATAATTATTATAATACATAACTAAAAACATTAAATAATTTTACGAGTTCAAGAAAGTTTCACGATATCAAAATAAACATTATTTCACTAAAATTTAATTTCAACTACACTCTTTAAACATAATTCTTATTCGCGATATTATTATTTTATATTAAAATAATCGCAAAATGAATTCCTTAAATTCTAGTACCAACGTATAATTATTGTAGTTTCTATATTATAAAAATATATTAATACAACACATGGTACATCATTAATTTATCTACATATAAGCAGTATTAAAATGCATTTATACATTGATATAAATACTTCATATGTGTACACATATCGTATAGATCACTATACGATCACTGTAAAATTGTATATTGTTAAACGTGGTAAAATCAATTGTAAATAAAAAATTATTTTTCAACGATATACCAAATCGTTTTAAAGATATATTAGTAAGCTCCCTGTTTTATTACATCCATGAAACATCCTCAACCCTCTAATGGACAAAACCTACGGTCCTATCTCGATGTTCAGAATATTTTAATCACAATGAGTATAATATTGATTATACCAATCCCCTTACCCTTCATAGAGTCGATTACGTCATTCATTAAACGTCTATTTTTGTCTGTGCAGTAGACACGAAGTATAAGAAATAATAGATTATTTAAAAAAATGTTAACCTCTTATTATTAATAAATAATGATAAATAATAATATTGCTGCAATGTATAATTGTATTTCAAAACGATGTTAATTAAAAGTACTTTTCGTGTAATTCAATTATAATTAAAAATAAAAATTATAAGTCTGAACATTTTAAATCGTATAAATTGTATTGTACTGAACACGGAAAGGTATATATAATTCAGCTTTTAATATTATATTTGTAAAAAAAATTCATCATTCTGCACTTATACGCATACGCATGCGATGTATACAATTTTTATAAATCTCTTATTAGGATTAATCATCAGACGTGTGTTTTATTATTCTTGTTAATTTATTGATCACATTCTTAAAACGTTTCTTATTCATGAAGTCTACCTGTGGCATATATCTTCGTACATTACCAAAGAGATTGTAATTTAACTAAAATGTTCAATCCATATTTTATACAATGTGCGCTAAAAGGGGAAAATAACTTTAATAATAACTTTCTGAGAAATACAAATTTGAGTATAATAAATTATAATACTTAATGGAAAAAAACTAGATGTTTTATTAATTATTAAACCTAAATTTTATTAATTTAAGCTTGAACATGAAACAGTATCTGTTTTTGAAGACATCAAAAACTTAAGTAAAACTTATTGCGGAAGCTGATTGCAAAACAGCACTACGAGAAAATTGAAAACATCATCACAGTATTTATGACTATAATTGAAATTAACATGGTAACATATTATTATAGAATTCTTTATTTTTAATTTTGATTATGTCTTTAATAATATACTATAGTTTAATTAACATGATGTTGTCTATTTTCAGTAAAATTATTTTATCAGTTTCAAATTTTAAATTTTCTATTCTTTTACTAAATGTGATATTTGAATGCAATATTATGATATGAATGAAAAAATGAAATTCAATAACATATCGATGTAATTAAAACTCCATTTAAAAACGTATATACATATATAACGCATCGATGACCATACCAGGAAAATATGTCGGAACGTACGAGTATACTTAAACAATACTTTTCGTCTCTTTCCGAATGTGAATTATACCTTCTTAAAATACTATCGATTATTTGTTTAATCTTATGTTCTCCCTTAACTTTTTTTTTTTTTATGCATTTTGATATAATTAATTATCATACGTATCAGTACGCAATACGAAATGTGCCAAAACAGCGAAATATTAGTTATTGAACTATTCTATACATCACTACATTATTCTGCGGTTTCGATAGCTCAATACAAAAACAAGTATAATTAAATTATAATTAAAAAATAATTAATATGAATATATTATAATTTATGCATTTTAATTTTAATTTAAACTTTCATAGGTATAATATATAACTAACGAGACAATTAATGATAAAACCAATATTTAGTAAGTTTATTAAAATACGCATCATAAAATCAGGAATAAATAATTTAAATGAATCACCTTTTTTTCTAACACTATTAAAATGTGTTATTCGAGTGAATCACGAATTTATTAATTTCATTATCATCTATCGAATTTTCAGTTGTCATCTAGTCAAATGTGCCAATTATTCGAATATTTGGCATCAGTCGCTACGACTCATGGCTATCGTTATACCCTTAAAATCAAAAATACCTCTACACTTGTTTTGAACAACTAAATCAGATAAGTAACATTTTTGAATAAGCGAAGTTTTTTTTTTATAGTATTTTGACAGGTTTTGAAATTTCGTAACAAAAATAAGTCAAGTCGATAGTTTGTGTGCGCAAAGTAACTTTTTAAAATTTTCTAAAACATAATATTGATTTTTTGTAATACTGATTTGTATGAAATTTAAATTCACTTTACGTTTTTTCATCTAGTAACAAATTTTAAACATTTAAAGTTTTTATAAAACAACATTAAAATATGCTGTCTCTGAGAAGTTTCTTCTCCATGTTCAATGATAATTATTATTAAAATTTTTAAAAATTTCATAGTACATCGGTTGAAAAAACTAGAAGAATGGAAGAATGTATAATCTAGAAAACACGAATGAAATGCCATATTTCATATCAATATGATAAACATCGAATAATGTATGCCAGTATTTAGATCATTAGGAATTTTGGTTCAGTACACCTACATCCTCTGTTTAGAATAGATGGGGCTTGGTAAAATTATACAGGCTGATCCGCGTGGAACGTGACGGCGCTGCGTGACTGACCCCCTAATGTCAGATACACAGAGTATACCATAGTCGACTAGTTTTTAACAATAATTTACCTCGGTGGATTTCGACAATAGTTATTATGACCAACTACGATTACGTTACGAATAAACGAATGATCGATTTGAATATCATATGGTGTGTATGTTGTGTATGACCTTCTATCCGTATTTGGTTTTTGAAATAATAAAATTCATCACGAAGATTCGGCATAGTGTTTATTATACAGTACAGAAGTACACGCAGAAGTAAACCGTATGTCGGATTATAAACCCGCGCTGTTATGACGAATATCTATTGCATTAGTTACTTACTACAGTACTGATTAATGACTATCTCGCAACGAGTTTTTTTACAACGACCGACAGAAATTACGAAACGAGAAGAATATTTATGTTTATCTGAGATCAAATTAAAAAACATGGTTTACGAATCTCGTAAACGTATATTAGTACTTTAACGCATCTCAAAATACATTAAATAATGGCTAAATATATCAGATAAATGGCACTATAATTTGCAGATATAAATTAAAAATTGACATTTCAGTTTTCAATGAACTTAATATTTTACTCTATTATTTTTTCAGCACTTACACCAAAACCTCCGCTAATTTAATCGAGTTACCTACTCAAAGTATTGATTATTTGAATCGCTAATATTAAATTTATTATTTCTTTGAAAAAAAACTGAAACTGAATTAGCAAACCGGAATACAACAATTTATTGCACAAGTAGTATATTACAATTTATAAAACTGCCTATAAGTTAAAAGTTATATCTAATTGAACGCTATGAGCACTTTGATCGAGTTATAAGCCGGAATAGTTTTCAATATACGTAGGTATATTCAATTAATTATAACTGTCAAGTTTGATATTGTGTATATATAAACACATTATGACATATCAACAGAAACTATTATTTATTATTAGATACATGTCGACTAAGATATCTAAGTGTGAATATTTTATTATTAAATTATAATTTGATAGATGAATATCGTTTTAATTTAATTAATATATGAATTAAATGATAAATATCAATAGCATCATTTAATGTATTTAATTTAAATTTAAAATTAATAAGCTTGAAACAATGTTTATAATCTTGATGTATCGGACAAATAAAAATATAGCTACATATTGAGGGAAAATAAATTTTACATGATTCATGTATTTATATCTAATATTATATTATTATATTTGTGTTTGAATTGAAATAATATTTTTTATAATT